CAAGAAAAGATCTGAAAAAATGTAGATTTCTGAAGCTACACAGCCTTTCCTGCTCACACACATTCAAACACGTCATCCATGCAGTTTGGAGTCACGATAACTCAGATTGGGCCACTAATAAAACTGATTTCAGATGGAAAACTGATCGAATCCAAAACATTCACATAATATATAAGGAAATTAGTTCATTTAAAACTCTAAATTCAAATGTTTTATTTCATAATTACTAATGTTTCAGTTTTACGTCTTTCCTGTAAGGCACTTTGTGCTGCACGTATTGTTTTTTAAATGTGTTTTATTACAAAGGAGTATTAGGGCCACTGGTCAAAGAAACATTTTGAGAATAATCTCTGAAATTTTCTTGAATAACTTGGAAATTTTTGACTTTTGAAATTTTTTGAAATTTCCAATTTCATATTTTGTCAGATTTCTGATTTTAATCTCAAAATGTCTGGGTTTCATTTTTTCCTTTCTATGGCACTAATACATTGTTGTACTTTATAAATAAAATGAAGTAATGAGTTAATAAAAGCTAAAAACCCACATCAGGAGGAAATCTACAGTGAAACTGTTAATCCTCACGCCAGCTAATAATCTGGCCTCATTCAGCTACATGAAGTGCTGGAAATGTTCTCTAGTGAGCCTAGAACTGTTCTCTGGTTTTACTGTAGGGTGCTCCTACCGTCTGATACACGGTGTCGGTTCTTGACCCGGTCTGCCTGCTCTCTACCAACTATTTCAGATCCATATCATCCTTCTTTTGCTATTTTCTGATAAATTAATCCCAGAAGTTATTGTGATAAATGATTGTGACCATTTTAAAGTGTTATGATGGTAATGGAACAATAATGCGAGAACAGATTGATTAAAGATCAATAAACTTTAGATTCTAATGAACATTTAACACTGGAACTGGAAGATACTTTAAATATTCAAAATAAGTAAAGAAAAAAAATAATAATTATAAAATCTCTGTAAACCAAATTATCCTTCATAAAAAGATCAAGTTGAGACCAAAGAACCAGACTGCAGACTTTTATCATCCAGTTTTGGTAGAAAGAAAAAAAGATAAATCATGCTAATGGTAATTATGGAGTTTAATTTACGATGTGACTAATTGATTAATTGCTCGGCTTGCTCTGTGTGATCAGACCTTGTCAAAGTTTCTCTGCTTCTTGTCCAGAGCAGCAGCAGCAGCGTTGGACCGCTCCACCTCCATCATCAGGTCCTCCACCTCGCCCTGCAGACGCTGCTTGGTTTTCTCCAGAGAAGAGCATTTGGAGTTGACGGCCTCCACTGCTTCCTCTGCGTCCTGCAGGCGCAGCGCTAAGCGTTTCCTGTGCAGAAACACCGTCAGACTCTCCTCTGAAGCCGCTGAGGCGAAGCTCTGGGACGCTGTCCTACTTGGCCTCCTCCAGCTCCTCGGTCCGCTGGATGGCGTCGCTCTCGTACTTGTTCCTCCACTGGGCGACCTCGCTGTTGGCCTTGGACAGGCAGCGGTGCAGCTCGGCCTTGGCCTCCTGCTCCTCCTCGTACTGCTCCCTCAGCAGCTCGCAGTCGTGACGCGCCGACAGCAGACTGTGAGCCAGGGCGTTCTTCGCCTGAGGACACAGAGACTAACACTATTACAACGCCGCGATACAAACGAGTCAGTCTTTCTCAAACCGTGGTCCACGGTACCCCCTAGAGGTCAGCAAGGTACTGCCCGTAAATGACTGTTTGCGGTGGCATTAGCTCAAAGTGCAACGCAGCAGCTAGCTTACCAAAGGATTGGATAAGTGGCTTGAAACCAGATCACGCAAAAGAAAAACTGAAGATACTGCTGGGAAGAAGACGACTCCAGGTTATATGATCGGAGGAAGTTCAGTCAGACCTGCTGAGTTTTTGTCGTTCAGAAGTGATTTGATTCCTTTGAACGGCTCCATGGCTAACAAGCCTCAGCTGGTGACAACTGCCTATAATACTCTGCTCACACCTCAACAGTGATTCTTATTTTCATTTACCTAAAGATGAGCAAGTTAAATTAATATCAAAAGCAATAGATAAATACAACTGATAGAAATGGGTGGATAATTTGTATATTTAATGGTACAGAAGAGGATTTTTGTTTCTGCCAAAGCAACTCAAGTCTATTTGTCTTGTATTGTGCTTGTAAATTACAAATAACCCAAAATGTTATGAATGGACACAACACTCAGTAGCAAAGGACTTTTTTTATTTCCAAATGTTTGGCGTCTTTGGAAAGCTTAGAATCCAAACCATCAGAATCTGTAAATAAGTGAAAATGCTGGAGCTGCTCGTGGTTTTATTGTGGCCAGTCAAAACTTCACCACCCTTCGAAAACAACAATAAAGGTGTTGAGAGACTAACATTTTCATTCCAGGTTGTGTGGTGTAATCTGAGGCTAGTTAAATGTGTGAAGTGATCCTGAGTCTGAACAGCTGGAGTCTCTTGCCTTCCCCTCTTCCTCATGAAGCCTCTTCAGCTCCTCGATCTGCTGAACAAAGCCTTGCTTTGCTCTGCTCAGCTGGGACATCAACGATTCCTTTTCCTCCAGCTGGCGACGCATCTCACCTGGTGGACAAAACCGATCAGGATCTGAGATTATCTGGCGGGATTAACGAAGCCTCACCATGCTCCGTCGTCAGCCGAGCTCTCTGGCTCGACAGATCGTTGATGAGCCTCAGATTTTCCTCCTCTTTGCTTTTCGCTTCATTCAGTTGATCTTCCAGTGAATGGCACATTTTCTCCAGATTAACCTGTTTGAAAACACGGAAAGTTATTTTCCTGTTGACTGAGTGGAAAGTTAGGCTTCGTTCCCACAGCAGAGGAAACAAAAATCTGACATTTTCACAGCAGTTTCAGCAGAACAATTCAAACCTCGTCACAACCAGAAAATCCGATCTGAGCCGCTTCCACAGTTACTGAAGAAAAATGTATCTGATAGTTTTCTTCTTTATTACAGCTTCCTAGAGTCGGCTTGGATAGAAAAACACCTGAAAAAGTTCATTTTCTGAAATTTTAAAACAGAAATTATTCCACAAGTTGAAAATTTACAGCAAAAA